CCTGAGTTTATAAAAGCAGAGAGATCAGAGATGAATGCCTAAAGGCTAAAAGGTGTGCAATGATGACTGATACACATAAATAGCACATTTATTTTCATTGAGACACACTTGACACAGGTGTTGTTAGATACCTATATCATCGCATCGCCTTATGGTCAGAAGTAGTTCTAAACAAGATTATTTCACGAACTGGTTCTATACACATTCACATAATTACCCTGTTTAGTGGTGTTCAAAGTTTTATGTCTAAACATAAACATTTTGTAAAACCAAAGAACCCTAAATAACTTTGAAGAGTGAATATAATGCTTAATTACTAGAAGAATAACATTTTGAATCTTTCATCTCGATGAATCATAACACAAGACCTACTGCGGGACTGGTTGTGATCTGTGGACCCATTGGATCGAACACAGAAAATCTATCATGAAGCTATGGCCAGGTAGAAAAACGAATGAAACCCATGCATAAACGGTGGACCCTACAAATCACTTCACAACACCTACCTATTATGCATGATCCCAAGTGCTCATGCAAAGTGATGCCTAACAACTCAAAATGATTACGAGCGAGCGAGCGCAGCGAGCGAAGCGAAGTCTTTTCAATATAACGGAAAAATCTCAGTATGAGCGGCCCGGCCCGGCCCGGCCCGGCCCGGCCCGGCCTGTAACGCTTTTGAGAGGCTTATATCTCAGCAACCGCTGGACCGATTCGCCTGCGGTCTTTTTTGTTGGGTAGCCCCATCCCTTCTACCACGTAATTGACTATTTTTTATGCATCTCAGTGACCGTCGTGGCACGTGCCACGTGAAAAGTCAAGGGTGTTCAAGCTATTTTGCAAAAGTAGTGATTTTGAGAGGCTCATATCTCAGCAGCCGCTTGGGCGATTGTCTTGCGGTAATTTTTGTAGGGTAGCTGCATCCCTTCTACCAAAAATAGGATACTCTCGATGCATGTGGGTCACCCCCAGTGCACGTGCAAAATACAACAATAAGAGGTGTCAAATTTGTTCCCATTTTAATAACTCGGTAATTACTTGGGCGATTTCGCTGAAACTTGGCATACAGGTAGGCACCCACCAGGCAATGCATTCCCATGTGTTGCGGTTAGGGTGCTACTGCACGTGCGCACGTGCAGGGGGCGTTTCCAGACCTCGAGAACGGCTGGGCCGATTGTGCTCAAATTTGGTACACGGCTGGGGACCGGTTAGTAGGGTGCCGTGCAAAAGTCAGTTTGGACCCCGTTTGCACGTGCGCACGTGCAGAATGCCGCTTCCAGATCTCAGGAACGGCTGGGCCGATTGCGTTCAAATTTGGCACACCGCTAGCGACCGTTTAGAAGGGTGCTTTGCACAAGCCCCGTTGGAAGTACCCTCTCGCCCTTCCGCACATGCAGGGCTCACTATCTCGCTCGCTCGTTCTTCGCCCAAAAGGCGTTTTACTGGTAGGTATAATCACATTTGATCCATAGGTAACGCATACGAAATTACAAATTGAAACACTTGCTCCTTAAAGGCAAAATCACACTTTCGTTTCAAATCTCGACGAAATGTTTCAAGGACTAGAAATATTGCCAAAAATTATGCTCAGATAGGTAACTATATGGTCGTAACAATCTCCTGACAGAATCGAAGACCTATTCGAAGATGCATGATAGGTATCTTCAGATACGAGATCAAGACGCTAGGATCCGATCCCAGATCCATTTTCCCAGATCCATGCACATAGTTGATTAATTTTGGCAAATGCTTATACATTGGTTATCCACTAGCATGGTGGCAATTCACAATCATGGATGAGCTAACGGCCAGCGTTATGAGCTCGTTTCCGCGACTATTAAAATTCAAACAAAAATGGACGTTACTAAACACAGTCGTATTAGCAGTAAGCAGAATGCCTAGCTTAGGCAGCCCGGCTGCGCCACGATTCATTTCTATCTTTGCCTGGCCTGCCTGATATAGGTTATGTAGATTTACACCAGCCTATTGGCTGGCTGGCGGCTGGCCCTGGTTATTTACAACCTTCGAGCACAGGGCCTCGTCTAAGGAATTTTCACTGGGGGGCCAGAGCCTGAAGGAGCCAAACCTAGGGTACCCCCAAATCCTGTTTTCTCACCGGATTTAGACCACTTAAGGCCTGGCTACACTATGCGTTTTCTGCGTGCGTTTTTTGCGGGTTTGCGTTTTTTGCCTAATATCCTTCTAGAAAAAAGTAAAAAATAATATAATTTTTACATTAGTTATATGCAGAAGTTAATATAACTCTTATATTAACAACAATTGAATATAAAAAACATCACAAAAGCGTAATATCGTTTATTTTTCTAGAACGATATTACGCAAAACCCGCAAACACGCAAAAAACGCACGCAGAAAACGCACAGTGTAGCCAGGCCTTTATTTTTCATCACAGCCCTGACACCATGATTTTTTTTTTTGAAACTAAAGAAAAAATAATAGGCCATCCGACCCATGCTTTTATATTAGTTTGAAGCCTCCTCACATTGCCCCACCAGGGCCCGATTTCACCAAGTGAATATATTCCATTACGGCGGCGTACATATTCACTTTTGGCATATTATGACATATTCAGTTTCACCAAACTCCGTACAGGGATACTTATTCAAGACAAAGACAAAGTATGACTGCAGAAGTCCGTCGTTTTTTGGCATACTATTACGTTTGAGGTACTTCTGGTACGCCGATCTGCTTTTTCAACAGCTGTTTGCCGAGTTTGCTGGCATTGAAAGTATGCTACTTTTTGTGGCATACTTTGAGAAACAGCTTGGCATACATCAATTTTTTGTATGATAATGTTACAAATTTAATGACTTTATCGATGCAACGTATGATAAAAACATGCCACTGGCTACGCAAAAAGTTTTAGAGGTCATAATGGTTATTTCTTGCTGGATATATACCTAGGGTATCGTGTGTCAGGGCTTATATTGAAATTAAACCCCAGAACAGCTATTTTTATATAAGGCTTATCTCATCGTGGCATCACTGCGATTAAAATCACCCCATCATGCAGAAACACAACAGGGAATTCCCTTTTTCATTCGCATTCCCGATTACATTATTGAGTTTTCCACTTCCAAAAAAAAAAAAACGACAGTTCACATTGTATTTTGATAACACAAAAGGCCAAAAGCGTTTCAAATCTTTCTCACCGTGATTATTACACCGTGCTCTTTATACAGCGTTTTACCGAAGAGAAAGTAAATAGCTAGCGAGGGCGAGAGGAAGAACTGAAGTCCAGTCTAGCAACGCCTTGATTGACATGCCCAGCATGTTGCATCACAAGTCACAACGCTTCATTACATTCGTTTTCATCGCCCACTTTTACTATTTCTTTGCAGTATCCATATGCTGTCCAATGTCCATATTTCTCTTGTGTTGTGGCCAAATGATTCAGTTTATCACCGGCTTCCCGCTTCCGTTTAGGTTTAGAGAATGATTCCGAAATATTCTCCATATTTGAAGTCGTCGGTAGACCCTTCGATTATTTAAAAACTTGATTCAGGTAATATTTCAGATAACTTGTCGGCTAGTCGGCCGTGCTCCTTGCTACCATCAGTGATCGGTAGTTAGATATAAGATAGGTGCCTCAAGTAATGCCATTTCTTGTTCGACTTTATTTATATTTGCTTTGAACCACTCCAGAATTGCGTAGAAGTTGTGAACAAATATTGAAGCACTATCTTATGAGAAGTAACTTGGAAGAAAAAATTAATATCAATTCAAAATCCAATAAAACCCACACACGCCAGTAACGTCAACTGTGCTGCGCGGCTTGCTGCCGATTGTTTACATTTTTGGCTTTGGAATGTCATGCTCCCAGCAAAAATCAAGAGCATTATTAGCAATATTTGTTTAGGTACTTCCTCTTGTATGATCAGCAAATTTAATTCTTATTAGCGTAGCTAGAAATTTTTTTCCATAATATTGTATATCTGAGCATTTAAGCTCGTCGACTTTAAATACGGAAAAATATAGTGACTGCATGTCCCCGACAAGAAAAGATATATGCATGCGCGCCGGTGGCTCTCAAAGTACGTAAAGCGGGCGTACTGAATATATTCCTGTGGCGAAACCGAATAGTATTATCGTCGTACTTTGTCGGTGTACTTTTCCAAAGTACACCAAGAATATATTCACTTGGTGAAATCGGGCCCAGACAGTAATAATCACACTTATCGGTGAGACAGACCACCAATCTGCGCCTACGTACGAACACCACGGGATCCTGCTTCATTACAATTAGAAGCAGCCCGTAACCAGTCGAAGTCAGTGAGGGGACCGGCCGTGCGCGGCCATGTGCATACGTAAAACTTTGGGCTCTAAATTCTACCATAGATCAGGAATTGCGCGGTCGGAGGATAGAGGGCAGGGCCAACGCAACAAGCTCTGCTTAGCGGGGGCTCTGTCCTTGTGAATCCTTCCATTCAAAAGATTCGTACTAAATTTATAAAAAAAAGAATATCCGAGACACGGAATTGGGCGCCTGAAAAGACGACATGTAACATATTGCTGAGCGACAAAAATGGTTAAGGTCAGGTAAACAAAATAAACAATTGATAACAGGCCTAAGTAATCGGGTAGGTACCAATGTGCTCACATTGCATCCATGTTTCGTTTACACATTTGCTTTTATGTGCACTGACACCTTGAACTAAAAATTCGTTTGCCTTTTGGCTATTGCCGCCCCCCCCCCCCCAGTAGTGACTTTTTGCCCTGACTGGGGGGGCCAGGCCGATGACTGCGGGGGTTTGGCCCCCCCAGTTAACATGTTAGACGAGGCCTTGTTCGAGCATCCCTAAGTGGAACAGAGCGGCGCCGCGCCCTCTCACGCGGGGCATGACGTCACCCATAGCCCCGCCCTCCCGCCGTAGGATGTCCGGTATTGGTCCGCGCGACAGCCAATCATAGACCGCGTCGTTCAATGAATGGTCAGTAATCAGGGCATGAAAAGTGACGTGATTTCTAGCTAATAGCTGATG